CCATAAATCAACCTATTATAAACAGCTTAACTTTTGCACCCTGAAAAGGCAAACCTTTTCTTTTGCAAGACGAGAAAGCTGTGCTAAAGTTCTGGGGGGGGGAAGGATGCTATCCTTTTTTATTTTAGCATGTTTTCCAACAAACATCCATTGTAATTCAGTTTTCCATGTCAGAAATTGTAGTAGGAGATAACTATATGTCTGACCCCAACTCTTTCCTCTTTTCCCAGTCTGGCTAAGCAGGTATCCATGCTTTAATCTGAATCATGCCATCATTTAACAAGTAAAAAGGTATATTTATAGAGTTAAATATCCAGAACTCACTACATGAGAAAAACCGAATTTATATACCAGTACAAGCTATTCTCAAATACTGTTAGTCCATTCAAACTGCTATAACAAATACTGTGTTAGTCCATCCAAACTGCTATACCACAGGCTTGATGGCTTATAAATAACAGCAATTTATTTCCCACAGTTCTGGAGACTGGGAAGTCCAAGATTAAGGCACCAACAGATTTCACATCTGGTTCACAAACAAATATATTTTTGGTGATATTTATGTGGTGAAAGGGCAGGGAGCTTTCAGTCCTCCCCTCCCCCATTTTTTTTTTTTTTTTAATATAAGGGCACTAATCCCATTCAGGAAGGTTCCACCCTCATTACCTAATCATCTCTAAGTCCTCACCTCCTAAGGCCCTCCCTCATCTTGGTGGTTAGGATTGCAACTGGTGGATTTTGAGGAAAAGTAAACTTTCAGTCCACTGCATACTCTTTTAAAACGTATCTGTTGATTATCAGTCTCTTCATTACAAGGTATTTATAGAAACTTTAATAATGAACCTCACCTGACACCCCCCAACACACACACTTTTCCTGGCAACCACTCACTCATATCTGGTCCTCTCCCTCTTAACCATCAGGAATACATTCTCACTCATTCTCTCCTCTCCTCTAGTGCTTCAGTCAAGGCTTCTGGTAGTAGAGGCAAATATATTAAGTATACCCATAAGAAGAGCCCACAGGCCAGGCAGTCTCTCTGACACAGCTAAGACACTGCCGTTTACTGTTTCACTGAATGAGCCTAAGCAACACTGGTAGGCATCCTGAAGAACGACAGTTCTCACAGAGCTTGCCACTCTGAGAGCCAAGTTGACAGGAATGGGTTTCTCATTGCTTATCCAGCCATCACAAGGAGTGCTGGGTGTATGCTGGGTCCGTCTATAAAAGATCCGAGGAAAGAGTAATTGCTTTCTCTGTAGAATCTTCTTTGTTAGTTATTCTGAAATACTGTAGCTTTTGGGAATACAAAGGACAAATATAACCCAAAGGATTCTTTTAACTCAATCATAACTGAAAAACACAAGAAGCAAAACCATTGGTTAGAATAACTGTATGAAAAAAAAACAAACTCTGTATTCTTCGATGACTTATATCTACCTGTAGAAAAAAAAAAAAAAAAGACATTTAGCCTGCTTCAAAGTTTGATAAGAAAACAATTAGTTAGCCACAGAAATCAGATAATCCAAAGGCCAAAAGCTACCTTGCCTAACCAAGGCCAGCTGCTTCATGTCACAGATGAGAAAATAAGACAGAGAGAAATTAGGCGCCTGCGCTAGTTTGAGGTTAAGTTTGACTAGAACTTGAATGTTCTGATTCTCATTCAATACTTTCTGCATCTCTCTCCTAAACCCGCAAGGAAGAAAATGCATTATCTTTCATAACAATAGCTCAAATAATTTTTTATTTCCCCACAGAAGTTCACCAGAAGTGTAATCCCACATTTGTGAATACCATAGCAACAACATACCAAAAAAAAGTTTTTGGAAGAGCATTTATGATAATTCCAGAGAATGGATTACTAAACCTAAACAAGCATTAAATCAAGAAAATCCATCAAATAGATGATAATGCCACATTATTAAATAAGATTTTGGTCCTTGTCATCAAGCTAACATAATACAATAGTATACACTGCCATTTGAAAGCATTCAGTTTTCTTTTTCACATCAGATATTTTACTGTCAATCAAGACATATCTATAGTGGGCCTTCCTATCCTTACCCGCAGCTAAGTATAGTATAAAGGCTATACTTAAAACCACCAAGCTTTGGGCTATTCACAGACTCGGCCAAAAGTCACTGAATTGAAGCTTCATTTTTAACCAACCATGCTGGGCATCCATATTATTGCCCATATTGTACTATAATATGACATTGTTCTGGCCACCAATGCCTCCACTGCCATCATCCCAACAGTGAGAGTGGATAGGAAAAGACAGAACTGTTCGACTGGGCAAAAGTCCAATTCAGTCAATTCTTCATAGAGAGAAATACACAAAACTGAGGAGGAGGTATTCGAATTCACCATTTTAGTCACAACAAGGACATTACAGACCCCATTTAATGGAAATAAGGATCTTGGATAGTCAGGTATTTCATAGATATGTCCTCAGCTTTGAAATCAATGACAATAGAAGAAAAACAAATAGAATACCTGGGGGAATTATTCCTATTATAAAAGCATTTCATTTCGCAAATGGACACACAACAGGCTCCTCGAAATCATGTTATACATTACGGAATATGGCAAAAGGGAAAAATGTATGCACAACATATTAGAAGGGTTTTAAAAGTGAGTCATACCAGTGATAATATCGGCTGGGTCAGTTTTGTTGATTCTGACCCTTGATGGATACTGAGATGAAGGGCACAGGTTAGATGCCAGAATGTGTCACTTAGGTTTGAGAAGAGGAGAAACATGCAGAACTTGAAATTCTGGATACAACTATACCCTTGGATTTTTAGAGAACTGAGGTAGGCAGAATTGTCACAGCTTTAACAAGAAACAAAATAGACACCCAGTCAGTAGCATCCTGTGATATGTGGGCCATACTGAATGAATACTCTGAACATTAATCATAAACTTTCACTTTCCATACAGGTCATGAAATCCCCTTGTACTTGAATCAATGGCCTGAGTGACCATCGATCTATGACCAACTCTCTCCATATCAATACGAGGACATTTGCTGGGACTGACAGTTGAAAGAAGCTGATCCCTTTGTGTAAACTCTTAAATCACAGGATTGTGCAAAGGGAGAGAAAAATGTTCAGAAAGAAGAAAAACGAACTTCCAGTTTTCCATTATTACATTATATTTATTGTTTTCAGGCAGAGAAAGTCTAAGGATAAAGCTGTTTCCATTCTCTAATTTTCTTTTTCTCCGACCTAATGAACAGCCTGGAATCAGCTTTCTGCATACAGGTCATCGGCTGACATGCTTTTGTTGTCCAAAACATACTACTGCACATCTCTTTCAAATGCATTAGCTAGCTAAAAGTGATCCCAGCCAGAAGTTATCAATCAGAATCAATTAGATATCATTTGGCAACTGTGTGGAGCCCCTACTATGTGTCAATACAGAGCAATCTGCTGTTCCTGATAGGCTTTTTTTTTTTTTTTTTTTTTGAGAGAGAGAGAGATAGCAAGGTTGAATATGAATTCCTATTTTCTGTAAGCAAACATTTGCTCTAGAAGCAACTTTAAACCTGCGAACACACCCACTTTTTCACAGCAAGTCTTAGTGCCAGACAGGATCAATGAGGTATCTGTGCTGGATTCCAATCATTTAAAAAAATAGGTCTTTAAATCTGTTCCCTTGTGCACTCAATCCCTGCATGTGGACAGCTCACTTAGTTCGTAAGCAACAATATTGCCCATTGACAAAATGCCCCTTTCGTAAACAAAATATACTTGTTGTTCCCATGAAGCTTTGTTGCCTTTTCCAGCAACAAATTTAACATCCTCAATAGCGATTTTAGACAAACAGAAGCAGCAAACAAAAGAACAGAGCAAAAGCTGAAGAAACAGCACCAAGGTGAGCTGTGCGCAGGGGAAGAGAGACGGAGTGGAAGTTAGATCTGGTCTTGACTCTGTGATCTAAGAAATCCAGCCTGTCCTGATGAAGGGGTCTGTCTGAAAGGAGAAGCGTACGGGGTGGTTTTCAGTGGAGAGAAAGAAGGGTGCTGTTATCCCGGTTCTGTTTCAATAAGACCAGGAGAGCCAGGGCAGGCAAAATCCAGTTTAGTGACTAAGACGGATTCAATGAAAGTAGCACAAGTTTGTTCATGAGACAGTGCTACTTACCCAGCCGAACCCGAGATTTATATAAGCAATAATAAAGTCAATGCTTTAAAAAAAAAAAAAAAATGTGAAGTGCGTTCTGTTACCAAACCAAAAGTATGGTTGTTCCTAGGAAACATGTACCCATTTAATGTCACCGTGGTGCAGGTTGGGCGCCCATCCCGTCCCGTCTTCTTGTCACAGACACAGCTCATGGCCTGGAGCGCTAGAAACCCACAAACTATTGTCACCTACGTCCCAGGACTGTGGGCCTGACACTCAGCATCCCCGGCGGAGACATCAAATAGCGGCCAGAAGCCAAGGAGCCCCTGACAAATCCGTGCGCCCACTGGGGGGGGGGGGGGGGGGGGAACACACACACACACATATACACACACACACACACACACCCATTGGAAGTGCGTGCGGTTCCTCTGCCCTCCCGGCTGCCTGCGCGTCCTGGCCGGTGCGGCCGGCAGGTGGGCGGCGGCGAGCCCGGGCGGCCAGCCCGGCCGGCAGCGCGGCGCGCGGAGGGGGAGCCCCGCGGAGTGCCGGCCGCCGCTCACCTTGGCGGGCCTGTCCCCGCCGCCGGAGAGCCGGCCGAGGGGGAATCCGGAGGCAAGCCAGGGAGGGACCTTCTCTGGATCCACGAACAGCAGCCCCTGCCTGAGCACAAAGGTTGGGAGACACGAGCGCTGGGGGCGCGGGAGCAGGAGCCACGGAGCACGCAGGAGTGCGTGTGCGTGTGCGCGCGAGGGTGTGTGTGTGTGCATGTGCGTGTGTGTGTGCATGTGCGTGTGTGTACGTGTGTGTGCATGTGCGTGTGTGTGTGTGTGTGTGTTAGGGGGAGGGGAGGCGCGCTCCAGCCCTTCTTACCTCTCGAAGAGGAGCCGCACCATGAAGATGCAGAAGGCCAGGGGGAAGGCGAGGTAGAGGTCCTCCGCCTGCGGGAAGTTGGCTTCCTCCGTGTTCTTCAAGTCCGCCCAGGTGACATTGTGCGGAAGCCAGAACCTCTCGTTCCAGAACCAGGCTAAGATCCCTGCCATCTTGCTTTGTCCGCTCCGGTCCAGGCTCCCCCCGCGGCCCGCGGCCCGCGGGGCTCGTGGCGGTGCGGGGCGCCCGGGGCTGCGCGCGCTGCAGGTCCGAGCCGGTGCCGCCGCCGCCGCCGCCGCCTCCGCGACCGCTGCTCTCGAAGGCTCGCGGCGAACGCCGGTTCTCGCCTCCCTCTGGCCGACCTGGCGAGCGGAGCCGCCTCGCCTGTCACATGGCAGCCCGGGCCGCCGCCCTGATTGGTCCGCCCTCGCGTCAAACAGCCCGGCACACGCGGCCGGCTCGCCCACGCCCGGGGGGGGGGACAGGAGGGCGCGGACGCGGCGCCCCGGGCGCCCGGGCTCCGCTCGGGGAAAGTGCCGCCGGCCCCGCGCTCGCCCTCTCCCCGCTCTGCGCTCAGGACGGCGCCTCGGGGCCGGCCCCCCGCCCGCGCCCCGGTCCCAAGCCTTGCTCGCACATGCTCAGAACGCCGGCCCCGGCCCCACCGGAGTTTCAGGGGGTCTCGATCCGCCTCCCTCCCGTGCGCCTGCGGGCGGTGAAGAGGCAAGTAGGGGCACAGGCTACTTCAGAACCATCCCTGGACGGGGAGCAAATGGCCCAAGGAGAAGAAGGGGGCGCAAAGAGAGAAGGAGGAAGAAGTAACCAGGAAGGAGTTATGATCCACTGGGGCTCTTGGAGAGGCAGGGTGAAAATCAGGAACTGGTGGCAAGAATGGTTTGGCACCAGCCACCTCTATCTACCCCATGCCCATCTTCTCTCTTTCTCCCCTCTCCTTCCGCCCCCCGCCCCCCATCTCTGACCTTCTGGCCTCCTGAAAGTACTGCTGCTGGTTACCACAACCAGTTCCCCCAGGGAACAAGGCCCTCTTATTGTAATTTATGAAGAGGTAGGAGAAATTAGGCACTTAATTGCTATTTGATGACGAAGGTGATGACAGTAACTGCAGGTTCTGTAAACTGGCCCTCTAAAGGAACCTCTCAGAAAATGCCATCAGACCACATTTTGGCTTCACAGATCAGGAGAGAACTTTGCTATTTGGCAGGCTCCTTAATATATATATATATATATATATATATATATATATATATATATATATATATAATTGATTTTTTTACAGAGAGGAAGGGAGAGAGATAGAAAGTTAGAAACGTCGATGAAAGAAACATCGACCAGCTGCCTCCTGCACACCCCCCACTGGGGATGCGCCCGCAACCCATGTACATGCCCTTGACCGGAATCGAACCTGGGACCTTTCGGTCCGCAGACCGATGCTCTACCACTGAGCCAAACCGGTTTCGGCATCCTTTTTAATGCCTTTCAAATCCGAAACCTTTAAGGCATATGTCTGACCCAGGCTCCTTCTCTCCCACAATATATTTTCTCATCGATTCAGGATCTATGTGTGGATCCGTTCAGTGGCCCTTGCAGATATTTTTCTCACAGTCATTCATTCTTCTACCAGTAAGTTCCTCTGGGCCTTTCCAAGAGGCATATAAACATGCCCTCCATTCACACTTCTTTACTTTCTCTCCAGCAACCACCCTCCTTCCTTGCCTTCCCTTTAAAGTGATGCTCTAGAGCAGTAGCCCTCTTCACTTTCTCTTATATTCATTCACTTTGTGATCTAAGTCTTGGCTTTCAAGTTCATACTGATGGCTCCCAAATGTATATCTCTAGCCACAAACTGATCCTTGAACGTCACACTTCAAAATCCACTATCAATTTACCAATCCCACGTTGATGCCTAAGAGCCATATCCTGTCTAAACTACTAATCTTCCCGCAAAATGTTTCCCTTCTGTTGTCTTGACTCAAGCCAAACACTTGGAATAATCTTGTTTTGCTTTTCTTTCTCAAATCTCCTTTCCAATCTATCAGAAATCCCATCTGCTCCATCTTTAAACCAGAATCACACCACTTCTTCTACTATCATCTTGGTCAAAAATCAACGAACACTTCATTATTTTTAATTCCTTTTTATTGTCGACACTATTACAGGTGTCCCCATCCTCCCCCACTTTGCTCACCTCCACCCGGCCCCAATGTAAGTCAGGTCACTTCTGTGTTTTAAAGCCCTACTAGCCTCACCATCCATCCCCAAGTGGAAGCCAACGTCATTTTCATGTTCTGAGATATTTGACTTCATAGTGATTCTCTGACCACATCTAGTCTCTTACTCTTCTTTGGTCAGATTGAGCTTCCTTTTCCTTCCTGCAAAACACCCAGCATGCCTTGGGGCCTTTGAACTTGCTTTCCTCTATCCCTGTAATGTTTTCCCCCTAACAGTCCGTGTCTGCTCCTTCTAGAATGTCACTCACTCAGTGAAACCTTCCCTAGCCACCCTAGTTAATCTACAACCTTCACTCCCCACCTCACTCTTCCCATCCAACTCCCCTGCTTTGTTTTCCCTCAAAGCATGCACCACCACCTCAATAATATATTTTTTACTTATTTTTTATAGGTCTCTCCACACACAAACTAAAATGTAAGCTTCAAAAAGTTAAAGGTTTATGTCTATCACTACTCTATCCTTAGCACTTAAAATAGTGCCCAGGCCATGGTGGGTACTCAATATATTAACTCTTTTTTCATGATAAAATGCTTTTACTTTCTCTGTTGTATGGGTTATTTTGAATGTTTTTTTTAATTCTTTATTGTTAAAGTATTACATATGTCTCCTTTTCCCCCATTCCTCTCCCCAGTTATTCCCACCCCTTCACCTCCAGCACATGCCCCCTACTGTCTGTGTCCGTTGGTTAGGCATTTTCCCTCTGTACTACACGGAATTGCTCAAAGTCATCATTGGTTAGGCTTATATGCATGCATACAAATTCTTTGGTTGCTCTCTTACCCTACCCCCAGCCCTCCCCTGCCTCCCCTCTGAGGTTGGATGGTCTGGTGGAAGCAGTTTATATTGCACAAATGAGTGAGATCATTTGATATTTATCTTTCTCCAACTGGCTTATTTTGCTTAGCATAATGGTAAGTATTCCTTCTTTTTTTTACAGCAGTATAGTATTCCATGGTGTAGCTGCATCTCGATAAACTATTGAGTCACTAAATCACCATTACTCCAACTCCCCACTCCAAATCTTCTCTAGGAAAGGAAAGAAATCTGAATAAGTAATTGTGTTAAATGCTTATATACTTGTGAAGAATAGTGTGGACATAAAGAAGGATCAATTCTGAGGTAGAATGGAAGTGGCACCATCCCCACTTTAGACCATGCAGCCAGCTGCTCAGTGTTGCTGATGACTCTCCAGGAAACTGCCTTGGCATCAACTACATTCTCATAGGCCACGGAAAGGAGGTTTGTTGCCTTCTCTTGCCACGTTTGTGGCAGGAGGTCATGTCAAGACAGAGCCTGGCCTTCTGGGACAGCCAGACTCTCTCCATGGCTACCTCCCGCTCTCTTAGGTCACTCTCATGTGTGACCTGACAATATCTTGCCTTCTACCCTAGGACCTCTCTGCTGTCCAGCAAGTCCTGCTGTATCTCCCAAGCATGTGCAATAAGAAGTGTTGGTGAGTTAATGCCCTGGGGCCTGATCTTTGGTCAAGGGCAATGGAATCCAATGGGTAACTGTTTATTCCTTTCCTCGCTGCCCATAGGGCCATACACAAGAGCTTCAAACAGCCCCTCTGAAAATATCATATGATAAAAATCAATCAGCTTATTTCAAAACTGTGGCCCCAGTAACTCACTCCCTTATATTCCCTCTCTCTCTTTCTCTACCGCCCTCTCCTTTTCCCTCAGCCCTGCCTCTCTGAAATTACACTTCCCTGGAATTGTTTTTTTTTTTTTTTTCTTTTTTGCTTTTTTTTCCTTTTTTCTGGAGAACACAAGTTAAAATAGTATTTCTTACCTGTTCATCGACTCTGAGAAGATGGTGGGATTTCAGGAATATTTTGAAAGATGGTTTTGTTAGAGAGTGGAATGATAATTTACTACCCTTCTGTGGGATTGCACAAGTCACTTGATTTCTAAGAACATTTTTATGACCTTTGATGTAAGTTGTGCACCAATAGTTCCTGTCTTGCTAATGCTACTCAACACCATGAGGCTCTCACTGAGATAGCAGATGTGCGAAGGGGCTGTAAACTCTTCACCTCCATACACATGTATCTTGTAGCAAACTTCTACTCTTTGATCTGTCCAGCATATCTTCAGGCAACAGCCCTTTCCTACCACTCTCCATCCAAATGACTACCCCATAAGTACAATAGAATAAAATATTCTGTGTCTAACCACATTTTATTGGTTCCAGCGTGGACCCTTGGCCCAAGAGAGCAATTAAAGTTTGTCTTTAGGTATTGATTGGGGCATGGGTCAAGGCAATCTTTCTCTGTACACTTGGACTCTAGGATTTCAAACTCAGAAACTGTTAGCCCCAAATTTCATCATATTGGTAGGAAAGGCTAATGTGCAACAGGGGAGAAGAATAAAACAGATCTATAGAATCAAGTAAAGGTAAGAGATACATTTCCACATGGTACCTGGGGACCAGCTGCTTTTTCAATCACGAAACAGTCTTGTATCCTCACACAAAAAAAATTCTTTTTAAAGTTGAGTTTCTGTTATTTCAACCCAAAGGAGTTCCACTATAAACAAGACATTACTCTCTTATAGTCCACATATTTAAACCTCAGTCCAGGATCCAGGGAGGGTTACTCACAAGAAAGACAGCACAGCACACTTCCCTAGGAGACCACTTTGTACCTGCGCAGAAAAGGCCTCTGGTTGTTGACCTGGGAAACCAAAATACAACTTATATATCAGACATGTTTGTAACTCCGGAAGAAGCCAATAACTGGCCTATAAATAAAAGATATAAGGAGAGTAAAAAGGTGGGAAAAGGGTTTTTTGGCCGAAACCGGTTTAGCTCAGTGGATAGAGCGTTGGCCTGTGGACTGAAAGGTCCCAGGTTCAATTCCGGTCAAGGGCATGTACCTTGGTTGTGGGCATATCCCCAATAGTGGGTGTGCAAGAGGCAGTTG